AATTTGATTTATGTAACATGAAACGTGTGATGTGTCTGCACCTGATCTATTCGCAACATTAAATTTTTGACAATCGTACCTTGAATTGAAAAATTGGGGCGTATTTTTAGTATTTTATGGAATATTTTTATAGATGAAGCTAAATTATTTAAATGGAAGTCACTTTCCATTTTTGAATTAAAATTTTTCTCTTTTCGTAACTGGTAGCGAAGTTTTTTTTAAATCCAAAAAAAATTAATTTCTAAATGAAAATGGAAATCACCTTCCATTTTTGATCTGCACTTTTTTCTCTTTAGTTCGTAAGTCAAAGTTGTTGGTTTTTCATCAAAAAAAAATTCAAAGTTCTTTTTTTTTATTTAATAATACAGTTACTAATAAAAATAATTGTGATAGAAATGTAATCAAAGATCTGGCACATAATATGTGCACATGCTTTGATCCAATTTCCGTTAAAGCAGATGAAAAGTTGATTAAAGATATGAAAGATTACAAGATGAAAATAGAACTAAGCTGCACAATATCTCATTGATATTTAAATTTACTTAATTTAAAGATTAATGATATATTTTTTTTTGATATCAAACTGTTTCCATTAATATCTGGTTTTATTGTATAAATTTTTCAAAAAAAAGTAAATATTATAATAAATACTATTTGAAAACAATTTAAAAATTTGAATCTTATATTTTTTCCCGTAATGCGCACGTACTGTATATAATTAATATATATATATATATATTTACGAATGATTCTATTTTTTTTAAAAAACAAAACAATGAATAATTCTTAATATAGAAAAAATGGATAGATCTCTTTTTTCTATAAAATTTCATTTTTAAATTGAAAGAATAGAAAAGAAACAAAAAGAATGGAAGATAAATAGTTATTTTCTCAAAATGATTATTATATTTATAGTAAAAAATTTCAATTTTTTTTAGTTATTAACGTGATGAAATTTCGAACAATCACAGTGACAAAAAATAAAGTAAAATAATAAAATATAAAAATTATAAAATTATTGAAACTTTGCTGCCGTGTTTGAAATTTTTTCTTTTTTTTTTTAAGTATTAAACACCCTGCTTCTACAAGATCGTAGTCTCTTTCAATAATTTTATCGTATCCTCCTTTTTTACAGTATTCCATTGGAAATCTATTATATGATTCTTGATATCCTATTTTATCTAAAAATTCATTCCCTATGAAAAAAAATCATCCAATTTTTGTACAATATTTGTTCAAGTCCGTGTGGAAATTGTACAATTATTGCAGATTTTTGGATAAAAATAGCTATGAAGTTTTTCAAAGCATATTAAAAG